GTTTTCATAGACACGGTTTCAAACATTATAGGCCGCTGTGACTTGAAAGTCACATAGTGTAATTACTGCAATAAAATTGTTTGAACCGAAATTTTTTGTTCTCATTTGCATATATAGGTTTATAATTGCTGATTTTTTGTTCCACCAATTTTTTTGGATTTAAAACAAAAATTCGGCCCATAGAGGGTTAAAATATAAAAAAGAAATCAAAAAATAAGAAAAAAATAAAATAAACAATAAAAAAAAAAAAACAAAAAGAAATTTTTAGATTTTCATACGAACGAACAAACGAACGGATTAAAAACGTAATCAAACTTGCTTCGCTTTCTTTTGTCTCCCCTCACCCCTCTCCCACAATCCATCTAACCTTTTTCTTTTTCGATTTCAATTCGAACAAACGAAAAAACGTGGATTGATTTATTTTCTTTTTCATTTCGTCCATTAGAAATTTTATTTTTTTTCTTTTTTTTGTTTTTTTCTTTTTTCAACGAATAACAGTCGTAGTCACTTAATTTACCCACCGTAGAAACAAACATTTCCGACGAATGTCGGGCCAAAAGAAGAAACGGGGATCGGTCATCTCGTAACGAACCGTGAACGCGTTTTTTTTTCCCTCCGTTTGTTTACCCCGTCCGTAAAAACTTTAATGACGGTGATGAGAGTCCATCTCTTTCTATATATTTTTCGTGTCCTAGAAAGCAACCACCTAGGAAAATCGACGTTTGGCCAAAGTAAACTGGACCATTCGAAAAAAACGTTGTAAAATTTTGCACGAAATTCTAGTAGAGAAAGAAAGAATCAAAATCGTCGAATATATTTTGGCTTGATTAACCGCACCAATTCGTTGATCGAAAAAAAAGAAAAAAAAAACAGAAAAAATAACGCCAAACTTACTTTTTCATTTTTCGCAAAGTTTACCGACAAGAAGATTCAAAGAAAATCCCCAACTTCCTTCCCCGACAAATACACACATACACACTTTACAATCGTTTTCATTATATTCATACACTTAATCGTTTAACTGTTGAGACGTATTTTTTTCGGACATATGGCAAAACTGAATACTACTAATTGAAAAACATTGAAATCAGCATTCAAATGGTTAATGTATCACGAAAGAAGAACCATCAAACAAAACAACCCAAAATCCTAGGACCTTTAAACTTAATCTTCCGTGTAAAAGATTTGATTGGTTAAACCGATAAGCGGCTAACAGAAGAAGAACCAACAACCATCCTAATATTAAGACTTATTCCTCGAGGTGGACCATGAAAGCAACAAAGAAATTGAGAGAACAACAAAATCACGAGGATGCTGTTTTCACCGATAATCTCGCGCACGGGGCTTTAACCATCCTTCCTTCCTTCCTTCCTTCCTTGTTGGTATCTTCCATCTCTCTTTAGCACCCTATTGCACCATATATACCCCCGTTCCCTTACCCACCCCCCTGATATTACGTTAGTTCATTCGCGCTAATAGAAATAATACGACGCGTTGAAAGTAAACAGGTGTAGGTAGGATACCAACCAGCGGCCGGTTAATACACCGTACCAACGTGATATACGACGTTGGTGGTAGTGGTGGTTGTTATGGTGGTGAAGATGGTACGTGGGATAAACGACGGGCAACCGGGTGCAGAGCGAGCGTGCATTTGCCGTTGAGCGTGTAATTTAACGTCCCGTGCCGGTTCCGTCTTTTCCACCCACCAAACCCCCCCATTCCACACCTATCTACTCCTCTTCTGTTTCTACCCCTGATACCGTGTACCCCTCAGACACCCTTACCTACCACACTGCAAGCCACACACACACACACACACATATCCCTTTCAACCCTCGTATTCTCGACTCCTCCTCTTCCGTATCTCTCGAATGAAACCGATATCGACTGTCTCGATGTTACCCCCCCCCATTCCTGTTTCCACCCCCTTCGTCCCAGCTCTCTCTTCTTCTTCTTCTTCTTCTTCTTCTTTCCTGGTTCTTCTTCTTCCAACGAATCGAGGATATTCGATGATCCCTTTCATTCGATTCTTCCGTTTCATTATGCGTTTTTTCTGCTTTTTTTTTTTTTGTTTTTTTCTTTTTCTTGTACGAGATATAAAAACATTTCCCGAAGAAAACAAGTCGGTGAAAATGTTACGTTGCACGGTGGAATGAAACGCGAGTACAGGGTACGAGGTGATATTTTAAAAATAAAAACGGGAAAAGAAAATTTGATCGTTATATATATGCGATGTGTCAGTAATAAAAGAAATTAGAGTAAATTTAGTTGAATAAATATGTCGTAAAATAGGAAAGGAAAAGGGAGACGATAGTTACGCGTTGTTTCGTTTAAATATCGATAATTAAATCGAATAAAAAGAAAATTTCGATGTGAATGAATATACCGGCTGGTTAAAAATATTATAAATATCGAATGACGTGAATTAGATGAATAAGATTGTCCGAAAAAAGAAAAACAAGAAACACGCACAACCTTTTTCTTATTATCATCTTATCGATCTTATGAACGGGGTAGAAACGTGTAATAAAAAAATAAAAACAAAATGAACAAAATATCGTATCGTGTAAAACGTGTAAAAAAAAAACAACAAAAAAAAAAAGAAAAAGGGAAGAAAAAAATTCGTAGAATGATTAACAATAATTAATGATAAGGTATCACAGGGAACTTGGACATAAAAAAGAATTAGAACTTAATGTAACTAAGTTGGACGTTTCGTCCCTTTATTGGGACTTCTTCAGCAACTTAATTCTTACAGTTCAGCGTCTTTTTTCATTGGGTAGACATACATTTTTCTTTTTATATATTAAGTTGCTGAAGAAGTCCCAATAAAGGGACGAAACGTCCAACTTAGTTAAATTAAGTTCTACTTTATTTTTATGTCCAAGTTCCCTGTGCATACTTTATCATTAAGAATTATAATTTTGGACGAGAGAAATAACTGATTAATTAACAATAATATTATTGATATAATAAAGAAATATTTTTAAACGTTCGATCACATTATTCTACATATTATCAATGCAGTTATATGTACACACAACACACACACACACAGATTACATAGACGAGGAAAAAGAAAGTTGAACGTAGGTAGTATAAGGGAAACGTTTTGCGCGTGAAAAGAGAGGGTAATTAACGTAGGGTGGTTATCCGAAGGGCCGAGGGTTTGCATCGTCGTCGTCCTCGTCGTGGTAGACAACATCCGCTCGTATATCAGCAGCAACAGTAACAGCAACAGTAACAGCAACAGCAACATCACGAAAGGGAGGAAACGCCTACGGGAAGGATGCAAGGGCACTGCGTTATAACGAACTTTCGCGGACGGACTTCGGCTTCAGTGACCTGCCAATAATTATCGACGTTAGGTACTACACGTACTGATAGAGTGGCTGGCACCTGTTTACGAGAATCCGTCTCATGCATGCACCAGAAACTCCAGCCGTGATCGGAAAGCGGCCCAACTCGAAATTGCAATTCTGATCCCAGCGGAAAGTTCGCTGCTCTCACTCTATCTCACTCTCTCTATCTATCTCTCTTTCTATCTCACTCTAGCCGATCGAAAATTAATTAAGGAAAAACAAGTTCAATTAATTTACGTCCGTCGACCGATGTAAAAGTAATTATCGAACGAACCAGCGAACGAACGAACGAAACGAACGAACCAACGAACAAAAGAGCTCGGACGCTTGCCCGGTTTCCTCTTCGTTATTTTCTATTATAATATTACGCAAGAGATACAAAAGAAGGCCCTTTCATAACGAATACTACTGGCTGCTACTACTATTATTATTACTAGTAGTACTACACTACTACTACTACTGTTACTGCTGCTGCTGCTGCTGTTGTTTGAGATTTAAACTTGGCCGAATGTTGAAAAAATTTCGTTTTCCCTATTTCTTTCCCTATAACTTCTTTCCTTTATCTTCTTCTTCTTCTTCATTTTTTATAAAACAAAACCATTCAAAGTGTCGAAAGTTTAATTCGTTTAAAAAAAAATATATATATATATATATAATTTCTATCGACGCAACCCGCCGCTTACTGTGTTTTCTCCCCTCAAATAAAATAAAAAGAAAATAAAAAGAAGGGTAAGTGATGACATTCTCGTGGCCGTGGTTGGGCACGTGCTAAACGTTAAATGAAAAAATATTACAAAGTCGAAACTCTGTACGTATGAAACAACGGCGTGGGCATGAAAAAAAAAGCATCAACCCCCCACCGGTGCCGAACGTTCAAAGAAAATATTTTTGTTGCAATCAAAATGGAACGAGAGAGAGAGAGAGAGAGAGAGAGAGAAACGGTAGAAAAAGAGAGAAAGATAGAAAGATAGAAGAAAAAAAAGTGTATCTGTGTCTGTGTGTGTTCGTTTGTACTTTTCCCACGTTTTATATACGCGTATTGCAAAAAAAAAAAGAAAAAAAAAAGGGGGGGAATGTAGGAAGAGTATTTTATTACCACGTGCCGGATAATGCTGAATGTGCTCTACTTCCCTCCCAGTAGGGGAGGATGCGTATGTACCATTATAAGAGTATACCTGCTGGCTTGTGGATACCACCCCCGACAACTATGAACAGTCAACTACGAACAGCAGCAGCAGCAACAGCAACTGCAACTGCAACTGCAACTGCAGTAGCAGTAGCAGCTCAATGTGACGTCATGAAGAGATGTTTTGTTCGTCTATTGACGTTGTCCTTTCGTGCTCGCTCGTTGTAAAACGAGCCGGTGTTTACCTTCCGGATGAAAATACTGCTATAGAGAAAAAGAAAGATAATTATAAAGGGAAAAAAAAAAAGAAGAAAAAAAATGAACCCAACAAAATACTGCTCATAACAAGTCACCTCTTTCTTTCTTTTTTCTTTTTTATTTCCTATAATGTATAACGTTCATTTTCTAATTATCCCTAATTCTTATTCACGTATGACAAAAAAAACAAATATATATATATATATATATATTTATAATTTTAGATACAATTTTATATTTTAATATAATTTAATATAATTTAAGATAATTTTATATTATAGATTTTATTAATATATATATATATATATATATGTGAAGAAAAAATTATATTATTATATAATACGTATATGCACTCTTATTTTATTTTATTGTTTCATCTGTAACACACTTTGCGCGAAATCTTTCGAAAATATGTGATCGAGCATGAATTAGGATTCATATTAAAAAAACGCTTTTATTTTAACAAATCTATTACATACGAACTCAAAAAGAGAAGAAAATAAAGGATAAAGAAAAATGATCGAACCTTTAAACCGTGTATCCTTTTTCTATTTTTTTTTCTTTTTCTTTTTCCTTTACCTTTACCTTTATAATGACATTCGCTAGTCGAAGAAAATAAGATAGGATGGGTCCCGAAACGAAATACGATCTAGCATCGTTATTGCTTGTTAGTTATAACGAGCCAGGCTTATGTATATTTGTTACGTGCTTAGGGATTAACTATACTCTGATAGGGTAAAAGAGAGAGAGAAAGAGAGAAAGAGAGAGAGAGAAGAAGAAAGGGACTATTATGCGTACGCGTGCGTACAAGTACTTTGGTACACCGCGTGGATAGGAAAGCATCTGTTGAGTAAGGGCTTTTCGATGAAAGTAGGAAGAGAGAGAGAGAGAGAGAGATGGGAAAGTGGGATGAGGGAAAGAAAGAGAGAGAAATACTCAGAGCATAGTTTCATTCCGCTCTACTTGCTGAATGATCTCTCGAATTCGGATGCTGTATATCTGTCGATCTGAAGAAGAAACTCGAAACTCGTTTCGATTCCGCTAGTATTTCATTTCTATTACTTCACACAAATATGTTTATATATTATATTAAATATATTTTTGTTAAGTATAATATATAAAACATGTTTATATATAATATATAT